AGGGACTCGTGGAGAGAGGACACTTTGCCAGAGGCCCAGGGTTCGGGTCCAGGCATGAGTCTGCCCCTCACTCCACCAGCCTGTTTCCTGCTCCCGGACACAGGCCACCTGCTGTGTGCCTGGCTCTTCCCACTCTGCCCCTCACAATCCTGACTGTAGACCTTGGAGGGCTGGTTCTGTAGACCCATTCCATGGTGGAGGAGAGTGAGGACCACAGAGTGGCCAGGTTCTTCAGACCCTGGTTGGTGGCAGTGGTGGACCTTTATAGATTATGATAGTTTCCTAAACTGGGTGGCTTAAAACAATGGAAATCTATTATCTTATAGTTTTGAAGGCCAGAAGTCTAGAATCCAGCTGCGGGCAGGGCAGGTTTCTTCTAGAGGCTCTGAAGGTGGGTCTGTCCCATGTCATCACCCAGCTTCTGGTGCCGCCAGCCTGCTTTGGCATTCCTTGGCTTGTGGATTCATCACTACAACCTCTGCATCCGTCATCACATAGCCTCCCTCTCCATGTGTCTCTTTCCCTTCCCTTCTCTTATAAGGACACCTGTCATTTGATTTGGACCTGCCCTAACCCAGGATGAAATCATTCTGAGATAATCCTTAACTCAATTGCATCTGCAAAGACCCTTGTCAAATAAGAGCACTGTCTTAGTCAGCCTGGGCTGCTATCACACATGCCACAGACTGGGCGTCTTAAACAACAAACATTTATTTCTCCCAGTTCTGGAGGCTGCAAGTCCCAGATTAAGGTGCCAGCACAGTCAGATTCTGGAGTGGGCCCTTTTTCAGGTTGCAGGCTGCTAGCTTCACACCATATTATCACAGGGTGAACAGCAGGAGCTCTGATGAGCAGAATGAGGATCAAAGAGGGTGGGCCACTTGCCTGTGGTCACACAGCAAAGAGCTGGAATTAAGCCTTGCTCAGAGTGGCCCCTGAGCTCAAACTCTCTGTGACTCTGTGACTTCCTGGAAGACCCTTGTCTCCACTCAGTGAGTTAGATTTAGCTTAGTTCTTTTTTTTTTCTTCTTTTTTAGCCTCTCTACCTCCTGGTCAGGTTAATTCAGTTGTTGCCAACTCTGCTTGGTCAGTGAGGAAGCAAGTACAGAAGGGCCAGGGGTTTGTGCACAGCTCCACTCGGCGTCTGCAGGAGGGCGAGGCCGAGCCCAGCTCTCCCGGCCCTGGTCTAGCCTTCCTTGCCCTGTGTTCCTGAGAAACACGGAGTGTTTCCGAGGTGCCTTTTACGGAGGAGGTAGCCAAGGCCCGGATGATTAGCGGATCCCAGCCACACTCAGGGCTCTGCATCAAGCTGGCTGAGACCCCTGATTCTTGGCCTCTCTTTTTGGTAAATCAAAACTTCCAGGCCACATCCAATATCCTGTGCCAACCACCGACTTTTGCTTGAATTGAAAAGTCAAACTTCCAAGCTCTATTGAAATCATTAGCTCTCCTTTGAAAGCCAGTTTTAATTTAATTTTGGAGAGTCACTTCCAATTGCTAAAATGTCTCTAAGCGGAGGTGAGAGCCATCCCCTGAAACCCAGGAGAGCCATGGATGTCTTTATCTGAAGGGACACAGCCCCGGGGACGCTGAACAGACTCTGATCCCAGCCTAAGCTTTTCATGGTGATGCAGCCAGGTGACAGGCCAGGTGACAGCAGGGTCCCAGCCCTGCAGAGGCAGTGCCCGCTGTCTCTTCTGAGAAGGCAAATGAGAAGTCAGAGAGATGACAAATTCTAATTAGTGGGATTATCTTCCCACGCCATGTCTAGCTGCAGATGTGTGTCTCAGGGCCCGGTGCCCGGGCTGCCAGAAGTCTTTGCTTGGATTCCCACAAAGACAGGACCCCCGAGGCACGTTTGCTCATCACACCTTTGCCTCCTTGCATTTTATATTCTCAAGCTCACTGCTGGAAATGGGTGTTCCATGAGCCTTCAACCTCATGCCAAAAATTTCACTCTTTGTGGGAAAACGTCTTTTTGGGATTTTATGAAACGTGCTATTTAATGGATTGAGATGCCGTTGACATTTATCATCCCTAAGTACTGTCCCACACTCCCACTTCCTGGGCCTGTTTAGTTCCCCCGAGTGCTGCAGGGTAGCTTTTGCTGACTCAGTAGAGATGTTTCCTGAGACTGAAGCCTGGAGAGGCAGCAAGCACCAAAGCCACAGTCGGAATTCAGGCTTCTTCCATTGTCCTGTATCTGCTTCGAATAGATCTGCAACGTGTCAGAGCTGAATGGGGTCCAATTTCCAACAGAAGAGCGGCCTGTGATGCCAGGAGAAAACCCCAAGCTCCTGCCCTGGGTCCTCAGGCTGACCACATTCTTGCTGGCGTTTCCCAGCATGTCCTGTTTCTTAGGGAGGCCGCCCTGTGGGTGAAAATGACAGCTGGGGAGGCAGAGAGGCTGGGTTTGAGTCGAGCTTTGAGAAAGCACTAAAACATTTCCCGTCCTCATTTTCCTCTCTCTGTAAAGCAGGGATAGTAATATTCATTGTCCTAGATGGAACGATGTCCCACCCCCCCCAAATGCAGGTCCTCCTGGAACCTCAGAATGTGTCCTTATTTGGAAATGGCATCATTGTAAGTTTAATTAGTTCAGATGAAGTCATACTGGATTAGGGTGGGTCCTAAAGCTACAGTGACTGGTGTCCTTATGAGGAAATGAATGACACAGAGACGTAGGGGAGGATGCCATGTGACAAGGGAGGCCAGGACGGAAGTGCTGCAGCTGCAAGCCTAGAGCACCAGGGTTGCTGGAGCTGCCCCACTCTGGAAGAGGCAGGAGAGGATCCCCTCTAGGAGCCTTCAGAGGGGACAGGCCCTGCTGACACCTTGATTTTGGACTTCCAGCCCTCAGAACTACTAGCTAATACATTTCTGCTATTTAGCCCCCCAGTTTGAGGTACTGTTATAGCAACCCGAGGAACCCAGGCATTCCCTCCTTAGGGTGTTAGGAAGATTAGCCCGTGCAATCCTTGCTAACCAACCAAGGAATCTATACAGTCCTTCCTCGGGGTGTTAGGGAGATTGGGTTATGCAGTCCTTGCTAACCATCCGAGGAACCCAGGCATCCCCTCCTCAGGGTGTTAGGAAGATTAGCCCGTGCAATCCTTGCTAACCGTCCAAGGAACCCATGAAGTTCCTTCTTGGGGTGCTGGGATGATTAGCTAGCTCATGCAATCCTTGCTAACCATCCAAGGAACCATACAGTTCCTCCTGAGGTGTTGGGAAGGTTAGCCCATGCAATCCTTGGTAACATCCAAGAAACCCATGCAGTCCTTCCTCAGGGTATTGGGAAGATTAGCCCATGCAATCCTTGCTAACAGTCCAAGAAACCCATGCAGTCCCTTCTTGGGGTCCTGGGAAGATTACCTCATGTAATCCTTGCTAACTGTCCATGCCACATGGTGCATGTCAGCCCTGCTCACTTTTCCTGCCATGCTTGCTGTGTCTCCTTGGCACCATGCCCTCCTTTACAGGGTTCCCTTTCCCTCGAAGCCTCTTCCTTCACCCTTACCATCTTCCCATCTTTTAGAGCTTGCCCCCTGGTTTTGATTCCTGCAGAGAGCCTTCTCTGACAGCTCCCATCCTCCTACCCTGCTCCCACTCCCCGTAGGTAAGGCAGTCACTCAAAAGTCTAGCCCTCATGGATTTGAATCTCCACCCTGCCACTTGGCGGTTTGTTGAACTCTGAACAAGTTAATCAGTACACTTGGGGCTGCAGCTTCCTCATGCTTTATTCATAAGGTTCTCATAGGGATTCAGTGAGATGATCAAGGAGATGATTTTCTCAGGGTCTGGCCTGAAGTAAAGTGCTCAATGCAGGACCACTGTTATCATAGCTGTCCCAGCTTCTGTGCTCCCCCAGAACCCACATGCCTGAGTTTGGGTTTCCCCAGAATCAGGCTCCAAGGCAAGGATTTGAGGACAGAGCATGGAAGAGGTAAAGAGAACACAGGGAAGGATAGGAAGGAAGCCATCCAGGAAAGGGAGTGCTGTCAAGTCTGTTACCCCATTGCAGGGCTGGGAAAACTTAGAAATTCCAAGAGCTGGTGTAAAACACCAGCCTCAGCCTCATCCCAGGTGATGGGCAAGGGAGCTGGGGTAGTGATACTCCAATTTCTAACAGTCGTGGGGATTGAGTGTTGTTCTGAAGACATTAATTCCCTGGCTTGGCTGGTCTGTTGCATGGGCAACAAAGTGGGCCCTACTGGCAAAAGAGAGTCTTTAAGAAGAGAAATGCAGGACTGGTGGATGGAAGTCAGGCAGGTGTGTGCCGAAGTGGAAAAGGTGAGGAGATTCAGGTGGGCACAGACAGAGTCTGCAACGCTCATGCACACCACACATCTCAGGGTTGTAGTCACTGGCGCTTTTTGCTTGTATGTGTTTACCTCGCGGGCTGTGAGGCCCTGCTTCTTCCAGCTCCTGTGTTTGCAGCTCCTCTTCCAGCAGTTAGCAAATGGCCACTGCTCATGTATATATTTTTGTTGTTGTTTCGGGACAGTTTCACTCTTGCTGCCCAGGCTGGAATGCAATGGTGTGATCTTAGCTCACTGCAACCTCCACCTCCCAGGTCCAAGCGATTCTCCTGCCTCAGCCTCCCAAGTAGCTGGGATTACAGGCATGTGCCACCATGCTCAGCTAATTTTGTGTTTTTAGTAGAGACGGGATTACTCCATGTTGGTCAGGCTGGTCTCAAACTCCTGACCTCAGGTGATCTGCTCACCTCGGCCTCCCAAAGGGCTAGGATTATTGGCATGAGCCACCACACCCGGCAATATCATGTAAATATTTAATAAATGAATGAATCGGGTCCAACTGCTCCATTTTGCAGATGCAGAGAGGCTGTGGCTAACTTAGCAGAGGTTCTCCGCTAGCAGATTTTTAAGAACAGGGTTGTGATTCCAGAAGTAAAAACGCAGTGTGGAGTGACTCTTCTCCTTTGTCTTCCTTTTCCATTGTTGGCCTGAATGTTCTCCCCTTTGGCTGTTGCTCAGGTATGCATCGTGCAGAAGCGAGACACTAAGAAAATGTATGCAATGAAGTACATGAACAAGCAGAAGTGCATCGAGAGGGACGAGGTTCGGAATGTCTTCCGGGAGCTGCAGATCATGCAGGGGCTGGAGCACCCGTTCCTGGTCAACCTGTGGTGAGTGTGGCTCCCTCCGGGGTTCCTGTGGCTTCCTCTGTGGGAAGCCAAATGCAAATTTGGCTCTGCTGGGAGAACTCTTCTGAGTTGTAAAGAGAAAGGGATGACATTTCCTGGGTTCAGATAGTCCTAAGTATTTTGTAAAGTACATTTTCTGATGAAGTCTTTAGGCGTATGCTTCATTTTAATTTTAATTCCGTCCTCGTATCTGATGAATCAGAGTTGAAAATAGATGGAGAAGAGAAGGGTTTTGTGTATTTGAGAAAATAAGTGGAATATAAGAGCACGCCAAAGATAGGCTACTAAAGGGGGTGGGGAGTTCATTGTTTCAGAAAGTCACACCCATAGAGCTGATGGCAGGAAGGGCCACCGGGAACCAGTATTCTGTCTCAGTACAGATGGCTGCTCGGCACCGACATGCCAAATTCGGAATTCTGAATCTGGCCCCCAAGACCTGTCATGACCCATATATCAGAACTTTCGCTCCACCCCAACCTTGGCTATTATCTTCACTTTAAATTTGCATCCTAGAAACACATCCTGTGGGTGGTTCCCTGCCTCTGTGCTTTTGCATGTGACATCTCTTTCTGAAACACTCACGTCCCCATCTCCAGTGTCCCCTAACCATGTGCCTCCATGGCCAGCTAATTTTGTATTTTTAGTAGAGATGGGTTTCTCCATGTTGGTCCTGCTTGTCTGGAACCCCCTACCTCAGTTGATCCACCTGCCTTGGCCTCCCAAAGTGCTGGGATTACAGGTGTGAGCCGCCACGCCTGGCCTTAGGCACCATTTCTTGATCCTCTGTTCATGGTCTCTAAGACACTAACAGATTAGTGATAGATGCCCTTTGGTTATATGACAGAGCTGGGTATATAAGAAAATTATCTGCAAGTGTCAGCCCTAGTGGCTTTGTATTTCCATCATAAGCAAGAAAGGGATGAACCTACTGCTTGACTTTGGAGTCACCTCTCAAACTCTCTGGGCCTCAACTTCGTCACCTGTCACAATGACATAATAATGCCTTGTTTACTGCTAGGACTGTTTTGAGGATTAACTGAAAAGATGGCATGAAAATATGTTTTCTGTAAGTAAAATATTGTTCATTGTAAGAGGTTATATATGTGTGTATGTGTATTAGTTCACTCTCATACTGCTATAAAGAACTGCCTAAGACTGAGTAATTCATAAACAAAAAAAGTTTAGTCGACTCACAGTTCTATATGGCTGGGGAGGCCTCCGGAAACATAGAATCATGGTAGAAGGCGAAGGAGAAACAGGCACCTTCTTCACAGCGCAGGAGGACGGAGTGAGGGCCAGTGGGGGAAATGCCAGATGCTTATAAAAGCATCAGATCGTGTGAGAACTCACTATCACGAGGACAGCCTGGGGGAACCACCCTCCTGATGTAATTACCTCTCACTGGGTCCCTCCCATGACATATGGCCATTAAAAGGAATTACAATTCAAGATGAGATTTGGGGACACAGCCAAACTGTACCGTTCTGTACCTGGTCCCTCCCAAATCTCATGTCCTCACATTTCAAAACACAATCATACCTTCCCAACAGTCCCCCAGAGTCTTAACTTATTCCAGCATTAACTCAAAAGTCCAAGTCCGAAGTCTTATCTGAGACAAGGCAAGTCCTTTCCACCTATGAGCCTGTAAAATCAAAAGCCAAGTTAGTTACTTCCTAGATACAATGGAGGTACAGGCTTGGGTAAACACAGCCATTTCAAATGGGAGAAATTGGCCAAAACAAGGGGGCTACAGGCCTCACACAAGCCCAGAATCCAATAGGGCAGTCATTAAACCTTAAAGTTCCAGAATGATCTTTTTTGACTCCATGCCTCACATACAGGTCAGGTTGGTGCAAGAGTTGGGCTCCCTAAGCTTTGGGCAGCTCTGCCTCTGTGGCTTTGTAGGGTACAGCCTCCCTCAAAGCTGCTTTCACAGGCTGGTGTTGAGTGTCTGTGATTTTTTCAGGTGCATGGTGCAAACTATCAGTGTACCTACTATTCTGGGGTCTGGAGGTTGGTGGCTGTTTTGTCACAGCTCCACTAGGCAGTGCCCTGGTGGGGACTCCGTGTGGGGACTCTGCTCCCACATTTCCCTTCTGCACTGCCTAGCAGAAGTTCTCCATGAGGACTCTTCCCCTGCAACAGACTTCTGCTCGGACATCCAGGTGTTTTTATACATGCTCTGAAGTCAAGGCAGAGGTTCGCAAACCTCAAGTTTTTATTTCTAAGCACCCGCAGGCCCAACACCACATGTAAGCTGCCAAGGCTTGGGGCTTACACCCTCTGAAGCAACAGGCTGAGCTGTACTTTGGCCTCTTCTAACTACAGCTGGGGCACAGGGCACCAACTTTCAAGACTGCACAAAAAGCAAGGCCATGGGCTGGCCCATTAAATCGTTTTTCCCTCCTAGAGAAATTGGCTTTTATAACTACAACGTTTAGACTGAGTGCTGACGCTGGTCTTCACTGCCTTCCTCTGCTTTCCCCCATATTAGCTTTATTTTCCAAGTCACAAGTCCCACCAAGCCCTGGCAGGTCCCATTTCTCCTGCCAGCTGAACAGGCCCAGCAGAGGCTGAGGCTGTGGCAGTGACAGACCTGGATTGGGTCACACGCCCATTCCTGACACAGCAGAGTATGGGGTAGGAGGTTGGTCCCATTGAGTCTCATGAACAGGCAATGAGGGACAGAGCTCTCCAGAGGGAAATTTAGAGCTGTTTCCAGAAGAAAACGAGTAGAGTCTGTGCGGCCACAGGACCAGTGCCTGCTGCCCACATGCCATGTCCTTGTCCAGGAGACTCCATATCAGCTCAGCCCATTACTCAGACACAGAAAGCAGGGCCCCAAGCAGTTCATTACCTTCCCTGAACGATGCGACTTGCAATTCAGACTCGGACAGCCCCGCCATGCCCTAATGCTTCCAATTCTTACAGGTAGCTGACCACTGACCTCTCCTGGGCACTTGAAATGTGTCTTACTGAACTTTTTAAATTCTTCCAGCAGCTATATTTATTTCCTACTATTATCGTACTATTTTTGGTCCCATTTTACAGAGGGAGCAACTGAGTGATGCCACTAGTAAGTGGAGGACGATGGGACATGAAGCCAGGCTGTCTGTGTCCTCATTACTTATGCACATTCCTGCACCCAGCTTGAATTTCTTCCCAGAAAATGGTTTCCAAGTGTTTGTGCTGTCCACCGTCCTGAACACCTCTCTACCATAGCTGCTGTGATGGGGTCCTGGCCCCTCCCTGCTTAGCACCACACCCCACCTCTTCCCTGATGGATCTGTTCCAGCTGGGCTTCTCTTTGGTGGCCTCTCTTACCTCTGCTGGAAGAGGACACAGTATGGAATTGCCTGTCGGGGTCATAAGGACACCACCACTTTGTATTAATAATACATCAGCTTTTCATCACATTACATGGAGGGTGAATTATTGCAACATTGGAAATCCTGACTGTACACCTTCTCATTATTCTTTTCTGCTGACATGCTCTATAACTGGCACAGGCAAAGGCCTGCATTGACTAGTTTTCATGGCAATTTTGCCACTAAAGAATGAATGATTTGTGATCCTAAGCCTGTGATGACCAAAGTGGACTTGTTAAGTGCAGTATTTTCACTTGTTCTAATGCAAAGCTGTTTTACTCTTTTGGGTTTAAGGCACCAAAGGCAAAGCAGAGAGGGAATGAACAGCTATACCCCAGAGAGTGAGGGTGGTCTCTTAGTGGGATCCCTGGTGGGGTGGGTGGTGGGAGAGGAGGAAAGGTGAGGGAGAAAAGCAGCGGGAGTGTTTCAACACTTTGGCTCTAAGGTCTCATCTTCCAGGTTCTCATCCTTGCTCTGCCTCTTGACGGCTATGATGCTGCTATGGACCCAATTGTGTTCCCTTGCCTCAAATTCATATGTAGAAGTGCCAGCCCCCAATGTCCCTGTATCTGGAGACAGGATATTTGAGAGGTAATTACAGCTAAATGAAGTCATAACAGCGGAGCATTAATCTGATAGGATTGTGGTGTTAGGAAAAGAGGAGAGGAAGATGGAGAGTGAGAGAGAGACCTCATTAAGGATGCAGGGAGAAAGTTGCCCCTGCTGGTACCCTGAGCTCAGATGTCCAGCTTTTAGAACTGTGAGAAATAAATTTCTATTGCTGGAGGCCCCAATCTATGTTTTTTTGTGTGGTAACCTAAGGTGACTAATAAAGGTCTCCACTGTTACTACCATTCCAGGCACACATAGGAAATATTGCAGGTTTGGTTTCAGACCACAAGGAAACAAATATCACAATAAAGCAAATCACACAATTTTTTTTTTTTGAGACTTGCTCTGTCACCAGGCTGGAGTGCAGTGGCACGATCTCGGCTGACTGCAACCGCTGTCTCCTGGGTTCAAGTGATTCCTTTGCCTCAGCCTCCTGTGTAGCTGGGACTACAGGTGAGCACCACCACTCCTGGCTAATTTTTTGTATTTTAGTAGAGACATTGTTTCGCCAGGACCATGATGGTCTCAATATGCTGACCTCATGATTTGCCCACCTCAGCCTCCCAAAGTGCTGGGATTATGGCCATGAGCCACCACATCAGGCCGAAATTACTTTATTTTCAATGCATATAAAACTTATTTACCCTATACTGTCATCTATTAAGTGTGCAATAGAATTATATCTAAAAAACAATGTACATACCATAATTTAAAAATACTTCAAAAAGCTTATTCATCACGATCCAGTAGGCTTCATCCCGGGGATGCAAGGCTGGTTCAACATACACAAGTTTAGAAATGTAATCCACAACATAAACAGAACGAAAGACAGAAACCACACAATTATTTCAATAGATACAGAGAAGACCTTCGACAAAATTCAACAGCCCTTTATGCTAAAAATTCTCAATAAACTAGGTATCGATGGAATGTATCTCAAAATAGTAAAAGCTATATATGACAAACACATAGCCAATATCATACTGAATGGGCAAAACCTAG